CTGGCACTGGGATCTCCAGGCTGGAAGCACAGCCCTGGCACTGGGATGGATCTCCAGGCTGGGATCAGGGCCCTGGCACTGGGATGGATCTCCAGGCTGGGAGCAGGGCCCAGGGATCTCCAGGCTGGGAGCAGGGCCCAGGGATCTCCAGGTTGGAAGCACAGCTTTGGGATCTCCCCCCTCCTCACCTCCACTGGGCTCCGGGCCGCCCCTCCCTGCGGATCTCGGCCATCACCATGTTCAGGTCCAGCTCCTTTATCTTCTCCTCCACCACATTCTCTGGCATCAGATCTGGGGCACAGGCAGAGGGGGGGTGGGTTGGGGGGCTCCTGGGAGGTGGGAGCTGCTGCCCAGAGCCCAGGGAAGGGCTGAGTCGCTGCCTCCTCCTTCCCAGCTCTGGAATCACGGGATGGTTTGGGTGGGAAAGGACCTTAAACCCCACCCAGTGCCACCCCCTGCCATGAGCAGGGACACCTCCCACCAGCCCAGGTTGCTCCAAGTCCCATCCAACCTGGCCTTGGACACTTCCAGGGATCCAGGGGCAGCCATGGCTTCTCTTGGCAACCCATGGCAGGGCCTCCCCACCCTCCCAGCCAGGAATTCCTTCCCAATATCCCATCTCTCCCTGCCCTCTGGCAGTGGGAAGCCATTCCCTGTGTCCTGTCCCTCCATCCCTTGTCCCCAGTCCCTCTCCAGCTCTCCTGGAGCCCCTTCAGGCCCTGGGAAGGGGCTCTCAGCTCTCCCTGGATCCTTCCCTTCTCCAGGCTGGACATTCCCAGCTGTCCCAGCCCGGCTGGGTGGGAGAGCCAGGAGCCCTGGGAGCCCCCGGGGGTGTGCAGGACTCACACTGGTGGTTGATGAAGCAATGGGCCGCCAGCAGCTTCAGGGAGTGAACCTCGAAGAGCACCCGGTGGAAGAGCAGGTTGTGGGCGCTGGGGCGCCGCTCGGGGTTCAGGGTCAGGCAGGACAGGATGAACTCCTGGGGGGCACAGTGGGGGCTGCAGTGGGGCAGGACAACCCCTGCTATCCCTGCTGACATCCTGGCTCCTCTCACGGCTGCATTTCACTGAATCCCGGGGTGGTTGAGGCTGGAAAAGCCCCTCCCAGCCCATGGATCCCCCCCTGTGCCCGATGCCCACAGCGGGGGCTGCAGCAGGGCAGGACACCCCCCGCTACCCCTGTTCCCATCCTGGCTCCTCTCACGGCTGCAGTTCACTGAATCCCGGGATTTCCGAGGCTGGAAAAGCCCCTCCCAGCCCAGGGATCCTCCCCCTGTGCCCGATGCCCACCTTGTCACTCAGTGCCACGGTCAGGCCTTCCCTGGATACCTCCAGGGCTGGGCACTCCAGACCTCCCTGGGCAGCCCTTCCCAATGTTTAACAACCCTTTCCAGGCAGAAATTCCTCCTCCTGTCCCACCTGCCCCTCCCCTGGCACAGCCTGAGGCCGTTCCCTCTCCTCCTGTCCCTTGTTCCCTGGGAGCAGAGCCCAACTTCCCCCCCCCGGCTCCCCCCTCCTGTCAGGGAGTTACAGAGCCAGAAGGTCCCCCCTGAGCCTCCTTTTCTCCAGGCTGAGCCCCCCCAGCTCCCCCAGCCCCTCCTGCTGCTCCAGCCCCTTCCCAGCTCCCTTCCCTTCCCTGGACACCCTCCAGCCCCTCGGTGTCCTGTTCCTGGGGATCCCAGAGCTGCCCCCAGGATTTGGGATGCCCCAGCAGTGCCAGCACAGGGGGAGGAGACAATTTCCTGGGAAGCAGATCCAAGGGGGTGTTTCCACAGGGCAGGGAGAGCCACGTGGGAAGAAGGCTGGGCAGAGGGTCCCCACTGAGCCCCATCCCTGAGCCCCATCCCTGAACCCCATCCCTGAACCCCATCCCTGAACCCCATCCCTAATCCCAATCCCTGAGCTCCATCCCTGACCCCATCCCTGAATCCCATCTGTGAATCTCATCCCTGACCCCATCCCTGAGCCCCATCCCTAATCCCAATCCTTGAGCTCCATCCCTGAGCCCCATCCCTGAATCCCATCCCTGAACCCCATCCCTGAACCCCATCCTTGAGCTCCATCCCTGAGCCCCATCCCTGAATCCCACCTGTGAATCTCGTCCCTGAACCCCATTCCTGACCCCATCCCTGAACCCAACCTCTGAACCCCATCCCTGAATCCCATCCCTGACCCCATCCCTGACCCCATCCCTGAACCCCACTCCTGAACCCCATCCCTGACCCCATCCCTGACCCCATCCCTGAATCCCATCCCTGAGCCCCACCTGTGAACCCCATCCCTGGAGGGGTCCTGAGATCAAACAGGAGAATCCGGGGAACCAAACTCATTATGGGATGTTTGGGGAAGGCACCAAACTCATTATGGGATGTTTGGGGAACCAAACTCATTATGGGATGTTTGGGGGATTAGCCAAAGGAAGAGGAAGGGGGGGGGGTGAGGTGGGTCAGGGTGGAAGGTGGAGGAGGATCAAAGGTCACGGCTGGTCTGTGGGATTTGGGATGGGATCTACAGCCAGGAGGGATTTAGGATGGGATTTACACCCAGGAGGGATTCAGGATG